TAATTACCCTAAGTTAAACTAAACCAGCATAGGATCCATAGTAAGAATGGAAATTCCTCCAAATGACATCATCTTCTCCAGACACTTCCCATAAACCTCATAAACAGACCAGGGGTCAGCATTTGAATCAGATAACACACAATTTTATTGTAGCAACTTACATCAAGAAACGATGAGATCAGCTTCCATATCATGAAACAATATAGACAGCATCAATACACAACGGTAGCTCCAAAGCCGTGATTATTCAACTCTAACGGAGAGCCAGGTGGTAAATGGAAGTCCCAGGGATATGAACAGCCGCATGTTCCAGAACCCAAAATGGCCACCAAGGCACTTCCGGAAACGTCAATGCGTCACTACGTCACGTGCCCCGGACGCGTTTCGTCACATCTGGACTTTTCCAACAGGGATGTTGAAAAAGTCCGGATGTGACAAAACGCGTCCGGGGCACGTGACGTAGTGACGCATTGACGTTTCCGGAAGTGCCTTGGTGGCCATTTTGGGTTCTGGAACATGCGGCTGGACCTCCTCTTTATGATGCTTAACTCTTCCCCCTTTCTGAATAAGGTGAGGGGAACAAAAATGTATTCCCACACAGGGGCCCGTTTCTGACTATGTCTACCACTGTCACAAGTGGCAAGGCAGACACTGTCTAGTCTAAGTCAGCGTTTCTCAATCTTTTCAACAGAGAGGAACCCTTGAAATAACTTTCAAGGGTTGAAATAACTTTTGAAATAACTTGAAATAACTTTCTGGTCCCAGGGAACCCCTGCTAAAAATGACTATATCTACAACTCCTAAAATTTTAGCGTGATGGTCAGTGGGAAGAATGCTCCTTATACTTGGGAAGAATTACGCTCTTACAGATAGCTAAAAAGATCAATGGTGTCACCGGGAGCTTATCCAAGAGGAATAACTTGCTCAATGCTCAAGTAACCCCTGGTAACCGCTGAAGGAACCTCAGCGTTCCATGGAACCCTGGTTGAAAATTCCTGATCTAAGTGGTCTCGAATGTTGAAAAAACCATGCTGAATCATGGAAATCATTAGTAGAAGACACTGAGGAGTTCTGAGGGCTTCACACTGCCAGGATCCCATGGTAAGAATCACAAGTTTGAATTTGAAATCTTTATTTTCTGGAGGAAATAAACTCTAATTCTATGGTGTAATGCTTTTATGATACTCTTGGCTGCTCAACAAGATTTAAGTGGAATGGTGGCCTAATATTAGGAGGCTCCACTTTAAAATTTGGAGAATTTCTTGAAAAAAAAAATTAATTCAAAGACTAACTCTTTGGTCATTGAAAACTCTACATCAGTTTAACACAATACTGTGGAAGACTGAGATTTTACAGCACAAAAGGAGAAAGTAAAGTCAGAAGGATATTTGAACCTTATATTTCTAATCTATAAAGACAATGGGCTAGGAATGTTGTTAAGCAAGGACTCTGCATGAACAGGGCCAGTGCTAAACTATTTTGTGCACCAGGCAAGACCAGCTACTTGAACCCCCCCCCCCGCCCATAAAAAAATAAAACTTCACCTGTAGTTCTACTTCACACACATCATCTTTCCCCTCACATTTTCCACCCTTGCACAAATTCTCTCCCAAATCCCCCTCCTAGCATAAATCTCCCTCCAAATTACCCTTCCCAGCACAAATCATTCCTTCCCACTCAAATCCCCCCTCCTAGCAACATGCAGATGTAAGAACAATCCCGTGTCATCTGCTTTATGCAGGCTTGCTCCACTGACAAGGAACTCTCTCCTGTCCTTTGCAGGCTTCACTGCTCCAGGCTGTTCTCCCCTTGTCCCAGCCGTGAGTCCAGGTAGGGGGAAGGCATGCAGCATCCAGGCACAGTGTCCATGGAAAGATCAGCTGGGGGGGGAGAGACAACTAAAATCTGGGGGGGTCGTAGCCGATCCCCCTAGATCTGGCCATGGCACTAGGTGGCAGTGCGTCCCAGGTGGCTGCCTAGTTCTCCTAGTGATATCGCCAGCCCTGTTCATGGGCACATTTCATAACTGTATATTCCACATCAAGGGTCGGTAACCTGTCAATCACGAACTACCTGGGCATGTGATGGGTGACCCTGTTGTGCTGCCACCTCCTGACCCTACCTGCTGTCTCTTAGACCTCAGATTCATGCACCAATATGAATGCAGAGCAGAGGGATGTTCTGGGCACCTCCACGGCTCTGGCGTGTCATCTGAAGGGAGACCTGGGAGGACTTCCCTCACTTTGTCGGGGAAGCAACTGAACCTGGGGTCTTATGAGTACATTTTCACTAAGGGAGGGGGGAGTTTGTCCTTACTGATGACTTCTTTAGTTCTGCCTTATTTACTACTTACTTCTGCAATCCGTGTTACTACTGACCTCTGAACCTTGCATTACTTGTACTCCTGCACTTTGTGTTACTTACTACCAAGGCTTTTTTTCTCAGAGAATGGGTGCAGGATCTCCCTCCTTCTGGGTTACCCTTGTCTCCACCCCTTACCCACCTCTGAGTACTGTCCCTTGGTTCCACCTTCCAGTACCGCCCCTTTTAGAGACTACAGAAACAAGTATCATGTAATACTAAGTAATTTGTATGAAATTTGTTGATGATAACAAGAAAAGCAGTGAAATAGACCCCCTTCTGCCAACAACAACAGACCCCCGTCTGCCAACAACAACAGACCCCCAGCAACGATAGATCCACCCCAATACCCCCGGCAGCAGAAACAGATCTCCCAGCAGCTAGCATCAATAAACCCTCCAGCAGCAAGCAGCCATAGCCCCCCCCCTCAACAGTAGATATCTCCCAGCTACCATAGATCCCCCACCAGCAACAGGGCTGTGGATAAGGGGGTACCACCAGTCCTTCTGTATGGGGCCCAAACCAGCAGGGGGGCTCAGGCAGCTGGGTGAATTAGATGTGGGCAGGGAGGGTAATCGGCACGGCGTAGGAGCAATTACTGGAACCAATCCCCTGTATGCTTCTCTCTGCTGCAAGCTGGCTTCTTCTCCTCTCCCTCCCACCAGCTTTCAGTTGCTGCACAGAAAGCCATACAGGGTGTCGGTTCCAGTAATTTCCCCCCACTGCACCAATCGCCCTTCCTGTGCACCATATTTTTCCCCCTGCTGCCCAGGCACCCGTGTGCCTCCCTACCTTCGCAGTACTGCCGGCTTCCCTTCTTTCCTTCCTACCCAGAGCTGCAAGCTTACAATAGGATCTTTCAGAATGCAGAGTGGGGGATGGGTCAAGCAAATATGTCATTTACCAGCCCCTTCCTTTCCTGAATGAACACAATGAGTGATTGGTACTGATCACGTACCGTGTTCATAATTAAAGCATAGTAAACTATGTTTATTTGGGGGGCCCTGTCAGGTTGGCTGTGTTGGACCTCATTGTTTCTAGCAGCAGCTCTGAATATACCCCCATGGAAAAATAGATCCCTCAGGAGCCAGTATCCATAGACCCTCCAGCACACCCCAGTAGTCCTTACCATTACACACATTTAGTGCTGCAGGTGCCGGAACTGCCACGTTCCAGCTGAAAAAAAGCCGTGCTTACTACTGACCTCTGAACTCTGCATTAGTTACTAATGACCCCTGCACTGCTTTACATACTGCTAATCTCAGAACTCTGCGTTACATGCTACTGACCCTTGCCTTATGTGATCTCCGAAGGAAAAAAAACTGTAACTGCTTACAAAGTTTTAGCTGGAGTTCAGCATCAATTTGTTAGTCAAGTCCATCTAAATCTGCTAGTCTAAAGTTGGCCAAAGATGGACAGAATTTGGAATGCAAATTCTTAGGAAATTTCATATGAAAATTCTCAGAACCTTCTCAGAACATTTGTTTGTTGTTGGGAAGATTTTGTTTGCTTTTCCCCTAAGATGGGGAATGTGTTACTGCCTGGAGCACCAGATGAAATAAAGGAAAAAAAAGACGAAAAAAAAAAAAGCAAAGAAATGCAGCCAACACATCTAGGAATTGGTAAACTGCAATATATTACATTTTTGTTTTGGGGTTTAATTCCACTTTAAATCAACATGCAAAACCTTGCCTCAATCTCTTACCAAGCTGCAAATGGTTTGATGAGTTGGAAACATATTTCTTTTAGAATTGTACATATATCATGTGGATTGTGAAAGTATGATATATTTGAAAAATATTAGAAGCAATCATAAAAGGTAAAATAAAATATGTTGAGATAAACTAATAAGCTTAAAATATTAATACTTCTTTGCCCTTAGAGATGGAATCATACAAGTCATAATTTAATTCCCCATATGACTATACTGATTTCTCTTTGTTTCATTTAGTATTCTCATTTCCAAGCAATACCTCGTCTGTCATTTTTCATAGAGTGCAAATCTACAAACTTCAATCCAACTGTTCCACAGTGCAGTTGGAAGTGGCGTCCCTACAGGTTATTCCTTGACCCCCCCCCCCCCCCCCCCCCCCCCCCGCGTGTGGACCCTGCTAAATTAGGCTGGCAGGCAGTGGTGGAACTACCAAGGTCGTAGTCGGTGGGCTCTGGCATTCTGCCACCTGAGGCGGGCCCTGACAAACGGAACGGGGCCCCGCTGCCATTATAAGCAGTATCAGGGCCCCTCCTGCAGTATCCTGACTCTGGGCTTCGTGCTCTGACAATGGAACAGGCCAGGAGTCATCTAGACTGGGCATTGCTGCTGAGCTGACGGGCTAGAAGGGGATCTGTGTGCTAAGGACGTGAGCAGAGGAGTCTGGCTCTGGAAGAGGGGGGGGTATAGGGATATACTCTAGAGGGAAGAACAACAGTCTTCCCCAGGTCCTAGAGCTGTGTACACCAACAGTAACATCACCACACCATCCACAGTACTGCAGTCTGCAGTGTCTGATTATGTCCTGCAATATGTCTGCAGTCTCTGATCATCTGCTGTAGTATGTCTGCAGTCTCTGATAATTTTCTGTAGCATGGCTGCAGTCTCTGATCATTTCCTATAGTATTTATGCAGTCTCTGATCCTCTCCTGTAGTATTTCTGCAGTCTCTGGTCATCTCCTGTACTATGTCTGCAGTCTCTGGTCATCTCCTGTACTATGTCTGCAGTCTCTGGTCATCTCCTGTACTATGTCTGCAGTCTCTGGTCATCTCCTGTACTGTGTCTCCAGTCTCTGGACATCTCCTGTACTGTGTCTCCAGTCTCTGGACATCTCCTGTACTGTGTCTCCAGTCTCTGGACATCTCCTGTACTGTGTCTCCAGTCTCTGGACATCTCCTGTACTGTGTCTCCAGTCTCTGGACATCTCCTGTACGGTGTCTCCAGTCTCTGGACATCTCCTGTACTGTGTCTCCAGTCTCTGGTCATCTCCTGTACTGTGTCTCCAGTCTCTGGTCATCTCCTGTACTGTGTCTCCAGTCTCTGGTCATCTCCTGTCAGGGGCGGACTGACCATTTGGAAACCCGGGCACTGCACGAGGGCCCAGGGTCAGTAGGGGGCCCCATGAGATACCCCTGGTACCTTTTTCATAGGCTTTTTTGAGTTTGGGCAAGGACACAGGGGCCCCATTATCCCCTATTTCCCGGGGGCCCCATGAGTTGTCAGTCCGCCCCTGTCTCCTGTACTATATCCGCAGTCTCTGGTCATCTCCTGTACTGTGTCCGCAGTGTCTGGTCATCTCCTGTACTGTGTCCACAGTCTCTGGTCATCTCCTGTACTGTGTCCACAGTCTCTGGTCATCTCCTGTACTGTGTCCACAGTCTCTGTTCATCTCCTGTACTGTGTCCACAGTCTCTGGTCATCTCCTGTACTGTGTCCACAGTCTCTGGTCATCTCCTGTACTGTGTCCACAGTCTCTGGTCATCTCCTGTACTGTGTCCACAGTCTCTGGTCATCCCCTGTACTGTGTCCGCAGTCTCTGGTCATCCCCTGTACTGTGTCTGCAGTCTCTGGTCATCCCCTGTACTGTGTCTGCAGTCTCTGGTCATCCCCTGTACTGTGTCCGCAGTCTCTGGTCATCCCCTGTACTATGTCTGCAGTCTCTGGTCATCCCCTGTACTATGTCTGCAGTCTCTGGTCATCTCCTGTACTATATCCGCAGTCTCTGGTCATCTCCTGTACTATGTCCGCAGTGTCTGGTCATCTCCTGTACTATGTCCGCAGTGTCTGGTCATCTCCTGTACTGTGTCCGCAGTCTCTGGTCATCTCCTGTACTGTGTCCGCAGTCTCTGGTCATCTCCTGTACTGTGTCCGCAGTCTCTGGTCATCTCCCCCAAGGCCCTGCCTACCGTAACCCCCCCCCCCACCACTGCACTCCTTCAGCCCTACTACCACTAAGGAAGTCACCAGAGTCTTCTCAGAAGCCCGCCTCACTACCTGCCCCCTGGACCCTATCCCCTCTCAACTCCTCCGGTCACCCCCCTCTTCCCTCATCCGCTCCCTTACCCACATCTTCAATCTCTCCCTTTCTACTGGCATCTTCCCCTCCCCCCTAAAACATGCGCACATCACCCCCATATTTAAAGCGCCCTCCCTGGACCCCACTGACCTCAACAACCTCAGACCAATTTCCCTGCTGCCACTCACCTCCAAGCTGCTTGAGCGCTTGGTCTACGATCGCCTAAACGCCCACCTAACTGACAGCAACCTCCTTGATCCGCTTCAGTCCGGCTTCCGTCCCCTGCACTCCACCGAAACTGCCCTCCTCAAAATCACCAGCGATCTACTAACCGCCAAAGCCAAAGGCGACTACTCTGTCCTCCTTCTCCTAGACCTCTCCGCGGCCTTTGACACGGTCGACCACCCCCTCCTCCTTAATAAACTACTCTCCCTTGGCATCAGAGACACCGCTCTCTCTTGGTTCTCGTCCTATCTATCCCAACGCTCCTTCAGCATTTCCTACAACGGTGCCACCTCCCCTTCCCTCCCCCTCTCTGTTGGGGTCCCCCAGGGCTCTGTCCTTGGACCCCTTCTCTTCTCCATCTACACCTCCTCCCTTGGCAAACTCACACTCCCACGGCTTCAATTACCACCTCTACGCTGATGATACTGAAATCTACCTATCCACCCCTCACCTCACCCCCACATTCTCTGCCCGCATCACTCACCTCCTAAACGACATCTCTGACTGGATGTCGCTCCATTTCCTCAAGCTCAACCTCTCCAAAACCGAGCTTCTCGTCTTTCCCCCCCCCTTCCCGCGCCCCCCCCCCCCCCCCCATCCTTTCCATCACTACCAACAACACCACCATCAATCCCGCCCAGCAAGCCAAAGTCCTTGGCGTCATTCTGGACTCAAACCTTTCCTTTCAACCTCATGTCAAATCACTTACAAAACACATGCAGGCTCCACCTCCGGAACATCACCAAGATACGCTCCTACCTTACCCCAGACACCACTAAACTACTAGTACACTCCCTGATTATCTCACGCCTTGACTACTGCAACTCCCTCCTCACCGGCCTACCCCAGTGCAAACTCTCCCTGCTTCAGACCATCCTGAACTCAGCGGCCAGACTCATCCACCTCACCAGCCGCTCCACCTCTGCCACCCCCCTCTGCCTCTCCCTCCACTGGCTACCCATTGCCCAACGCATTAAATTCAAACTACTCACTCTGACCTATAAGGCCATTCAGTTAGGCCATGCCCCTAACTACCTCACCGACCTGATTCCCAGGTACCACCCTACCCGTACCCTTCGCTCTTCACAGGACCTCCTTCTATCTTGCTCCCTGGTCTCCTCCTCCCACGCACGACTGCAAGACTTCTCCAGGTCCTCCCCCATCCTTTGGAACTCACTACCCCATTCCATCAGACTGTCACCTTCCCTCCTCACCTTCAGGCGCTCCCTGAAAACCCATCTCTTCAGGGAAGCCTACCCCACTCTCACCTAACAGCCGCTGCCCTTCCCTCCTCCTACCACTCCATCCCCCACAGCCATTTCCTCCTGTACCTCTACCCCCTCCCTCCTAGATTGTAAGCTCAAAAGAGTAGGGCCCTCTTACCCCTTGTGTGCTGTTTGTTGTTACTGTACTGTTTCATGTATTGTCCCCCCTCTATTGTACAGCGCTGAGCAAACCCTTTGGTGCTATATAAACTCGATAAAATAAAATAAATCTCCTGTACTGTGTCCGCAGTCTCTGGTCATCTCCTGTACTGTGTCCGCAGTCTCTGGTCATCTCCTGTACTGTGTCTGCAGTCTCTGGTCATCCCCTGTACTGTGTCCGCAGTCTCTGGTCATCCCCTGTACTATGTCTGCAGTCTCTGGTCATCCCCTGTACTATATCCGCAGTCTCTGGTCATCTCCTGTACTATGTCCACAGTCTCTGGTCATCTCCTGTACTATGTCTGCAGTCTCTGGTCATCTCCTGTACTGTGTCCGCAGTGTCTGGTCATCTCCTGTACTATGTCCGCAGTCTCTGGTCATCTCCTGTACTGTGTCCGCAGTCTCTGGTCATCTCCTGTACTGTGTCCGCAGTCTCTGGTCATCTCCTGTACTGTGTCTGCAGTCTCTGGTCATCTCCTGTACTATGTCCGCAGTCTCTGATCATCTCCTGTAGTATGTCTGAAATCTCTGACCATCTCCTGTAGCATGTCTGCAGTCTCTGACCATCTCCTGCAGTATTTATGCACTCTCTGATCCTCTCTTGTAGTATGTCTGCAGTCTATAATCATCTCCTGTAGTACGTCTGCAGACTCTGAAAGTCTTCCTCCCTTTCTCAGGCCTGAAGCAATACCTGAGGAAGAAAGGAAAACTCTTGGGAGCTTGTCTTTTAAGTGTTAGGTTAGTACAACAAAAAAGGTATCATAACATACTGCATTACTCTTGTATTTTGTAATCTTATTTATATATACTGATTTAATTGTTTCCAGTGGTTTGAATTAGTAGTGAAATTATTAGTGCCCCCCCCCCAAGTTTTGACTGTGGTATCTTATGTAGAACGCCCCCCCCCCCCCCAGAGTCACCATATATTGTTCTCAGAGTCACCAGTCTACCAAATTATGGTGTTTCAAAGGAAGGGTACTGCTAAGGCCCCTTTCACATGTGGTGGACCCACCAATGGATCAGTTTGCTCAGTGGGGGATTTCTCCACTGATCCCCACTGACCAAGCAGATGACAGGTCTCTGTCCGCTCCACTGCTGTAGAGCAGACACAGCTTGGATTTATCTATGGGGTGGTTGGATGGAAATGGACTGCCTGTCTGTTTCCACCAAATTGTCAGCTGATCCAATCCACCGGATAGATGGGGAATGGATCCGCATCGATCTGTTTTTGGAGTATAGGATCGGATCGGATGCTGGCGGGTGTCAGCGGACACTTGTCTGCTGACACCCGCCAGTCCATACACCATATGTGATCTGTAATATATCGTGATATAGAATATAAAAATATAATAAAATATGGATAATGTCCAGCCGCAGTGCACTCAATGACCTCTCATACTAGTCAAGCAAAACATCAATATATCAAAAATAGTGCTGCGCTAGTCCCATCATAATACCTATGATCCTAGACATCATAAAATATTCCACATGCTGTATCTGATATAATACTAATTCAATAACTTCCTATATTCCTGTGCATGTAAATCAATGCATGTATATAGTGCCAATAAAAATGTCTCTATATCAAATCATAACATCCAAATATAAATGCAGTCATAAACTATAAACCGTGCTTCAAAACCAAAGCTTCACCTCCGTGTAAAAATATTCTCTGCATGAATTCCAGTGCTAAACCATCACCAGTTAAGCTCTCACCTTAAAAATATGACCTCCCACCAAGTGTTCGGTCAACAGCACTGACATGTTTCGTCGCAGTGCACGTGACCTATCATTCCGCTTGAAAAAGTCATGTGCCCGGTGACAAAACGTGCCGGGGCTTGGATTACGTCACCACGTCAATACAGAACGTGGCTTAGTGATCTGAATAGCACACAGAGGCTGTCAGGAATGGATTCACCACTGGTGGTGGGACTCACCTGCCATGTGGGCTGCAGTACCAGGGCTGGCCAGCGGGTGCTTTCAGCAGCCAGAAGCCCACTCCTGCAATCAAACCATCACCTGAGGCTGATTGCAGGAGGTGTATTTAAGGAATGGCCAGGCCTGCAGTCAGTGCCTTGGTGTTGTTTCCCATGAGCCCCTGAACCTGGTATCCTGTGTTCCTGTTCCTCTGCCTATCTTCTGTTGCCGACCTCTGCATTGTTGCTGACCATCTCCTGTTTAACCCCTGGCTTGCCTGACCATCCTTCTGCCTGACCCTCTGTACCATGCTGCCCGTGAGTTACTGAACCCGGCTTGTGACCCTGACCATTCTCTGCCTGCTCCTTCGGTACCTCACTGCCCGCACGTTGCTGACCTGGCCTGTCTGACTACGCCTTACGCTACCCAGACGATCCATCCATCCATCCTGCACGGATCCAGCCATCCCTGCTCACACCTTCTGCCTCTTCACATCAGTATATACCTCTGGTGGATCCCTCTACCACGAGCACGTGTACTCAGGGGCCGCGACCTGGTTCCTGTCTGCTCCAAGTCCATCCCCACCATCAGGGGCCCTGGTGAATAAGCAGACTGGGACTTAGACTCCGCGCCCTGGGGAATCCTGTCCTGAGGACTGCTAGAGGTACCACCAGACGGTCGTTAACAGAACCATATGGCCGGCCTGACCATTCCACCTCTCCAGCCCTGACTACGCCTGTGTTCCTGCACATACTAAGATTAGTGGAAGGTTGGTTTGTTTACTGTGCGTTGTATATTTGGGTGGCTAATAATAAATTATATTGTTATTATATCATTCCTGAAGCCTGTTACTTCCCTGTGTCAGTCCACACATTTCTGGTCATACCCGGATCTCTGACAGAGGCAAGTACGAACATTGCAACATCTATCTTTGAATGTATACCTCGGTGCGGACTGGCACCCTACACATGTGCGTGCAATATGTTTATTGGTTTTATTAATAAAATATATTAAGGATAAGGCACTATT